ATGTGTTATACTGCACACCGTCAGTGTCAGGTCACGGAATTAACGAGCCTTCCGCAATTGATTCAAATATTTCCTGGGTCTTAATGCACTGGTTAGGGAGGCTGCGATGCTCTGCTGCAGGTATCAAGTCCCCTCGCGTGTAGGCACAGGATTGCACTTGCCCCCGATGCCGCTGCCGGAACGGGGTATCGTGGCCTTCAGGCTCTATCATTGAAGCTCGGGGCATACCGAAACCACTGGAGGTTGAAGCCTTGCATTCCATGGCATTTCGGCGAAGTCCAAACACATTGGCTTCCAACTTTCCGATTCCTTTTCTGGTTGGGAATCTTTTGGGCGGGTTCCCTAGCTGCGGATGCTGCGGCGTTTACTTGCTCGGGTGGCAGGCCTTGGCGCGACTTCTCGGTAGTTTTTTACCGAACGATAGCGGACCAACCATGATATTGGTGTGACTTTATGCCATGCCTGGAAGTAGCCTGGGGCTTAGACTCAGACATAACAAAAACCCCAACAGCAAGGCGCCCGAATAGCTTAGGAGCTCTTTGGGGCACATCATATTCTAAAGCCTAAAGCCGAAAGGCCCTAAAGCATGCGCATCTGAGGCCACCCCCAGCTTACCGACGGTCCTCGCCTTCGCCCTTTTTCGAGATCCTGAGAGCAAGGCTGCGTCACAATTGCAAATCTTAAACTCTAAACCTATAAACCCTAATTGCCCTCATTAAACCCTAAGTGAAGATGCAAAGCTTTTCGTGTCCGGGGCTCTGGTGGACTCCTTACGTCCAGCCAGATCCACAGGGACCTGATAACAGCAGCTCCTTGCACCTTCAGCATGCCTCCTACTTTCCGACGGCCTTCCGACACCAGGCAATTACCAGTTCCAGGATCATTGAGATCTGCACCATTTCAACGACCCGCTCTAAGCAAAGGGGGAAGGGAGTGAAGCGAGGGGAATGGGAGGGGGAAGTAGAGGGAGGGAGAACAAAGTGCTTTCAGAAACAAGGTTACAGCAGGAAGCTTGAGAGCTCTGCAAGAGCGGCCAGTGGGGGGGGGGTTGGGGTTTAGGGTTTCAGGGCTGAAAGTATAGGCTGTAAGATGGAACGCAAGAACAATGACTGGAGCCACTGCCAGTTGCGCCCATGGAAGGAGTGTTTCTGTGTTCTGCTCAAGCAAAGTTTGAGATTGTTGCCGGCGTGATTGCTCTTTGCCTAGGTCGCAAGACGATTGCTTGCGATGTGACGGCAATGTCTCAAGTCCAGTGTTCTGTATGTAGCACGAGACGTGGGAAACTCTCCAAAGATGCTTTTTGTGTTCTAGTGGCCCCTGACTTGAGACATGGCGTCTTCTAGCAAGATGCTGACCTCTGTCAATAGGGTGGTTAGACAGTGTGAAAGCCATGGAAAGGAGAGAGCCCATCCGTGAGGTTTGCGGGATGAACTGGGAAACCCCGCCTTCTAAGTAGCTCCGCACATTCATTATGTCCAAGACTCTGTACCACGTAGACGTCTCAAGCAGAGCCTCAATTGACAGGGCGTTGCAGCTCTGCTGGAGCTGTTTCACAACGCCGCCCGGAAGGGCAGAGGCTTCCAGGGGTGACTGCAAGATGAACAGAATATTATAGTATTGCTAATATTGTTACTCTTCTTCTTAGTTTTATTGTTAGTATTGCTACTATTATTGTTAGTAATATGATACTAACAAGCAATCAGATGATGTGTGGCATTGTTTTTTGATGCAGTGTTCCCGCTCGGCCCTGACCGGTGGTAAGGGTTGTAGTCATTGTAGTCGAATTTGTTGGTCAAGGGCTTAGGGCTTAGAGTTTAGGAGAAGAGCGGGAGGCGGAGTAGTAGCATGAGCAACAGACAGCAGCAGTACTGGTAGTCAGCAGTCAGCAGGAGAATGCGAACAGGGCAGTAAACGACAGCAGTAAACCAACGACAAGATAGCACTGACACATGCACCTGGAAGCCTTGACTTGAGCCTTTTCCAAAGCCGGGGATGTGGGTGGGTACACTCGCAGTGGTTTAGGGTTTAGGGGTTAGGGTAGGGCTTTTTGATTTGGTATTATGCGGAGTTTCTGGAAACGGCTCAGGTAGAAACCTTGGGACAAAGATCTCCGCGGTACATAGCGGGCGAAGCAGCCCCGAATTTTGGCCTTCGACTCGTAGACTTGCGCCATGCGTAGTGAGAGAAGCGTGTAGTGAGGTACGCAGCCAGTGATGAGATGCAACTCGCCACCAAATCTCAAAGCCGACGCGGAGGAAAAAGCGCGAAGGGGACAAGCCCAGTACTAGGCCCCGAACTGCAAACCCCGAAGTCCAAAAACCCAAACCCTAGGCTATTAGTATCTGCTACTGGTGCCATAAACCGGCACCTCGGCAAGAGGCTATTGGCCAAAAGCTCCGCACCCGCTTGTTACTTGTGGGCCCGAGCTCGGGGCGTTTGGCCACTGGCTGCGGCGGCAGCTCCCGGTCCATTCGAAACAGTGTTGGGTTTTAGGGCTTTAGGGGTTTAGGGTTTTTGATTTGGGTTTAAGGTCTGCTCTCGCACAGAACTCAGAGCCTAAAAGACAAAGCGGCTGATTTAGGTTCACCGGCAGCCCACTACCCGAAGCCTGAGCCACGGGAGACGGTATAACCGGCACACCACAGTCCACGAACGCCAAAAGTCCAGGAAGCCCAACGTGCACTGCAGTGCGTACACCAGGGTCATCCGCCATACCCCGTACGGCCGCCTATCCATGTCGTCTTTTCGCATGCACCGGGGCTTGCCTAGTCATAGCACTCGACCCAAGCCCGGTCAGTTGTCAAGCCCAGCTACGCATGTCAGTTTTCCGTCAAGTTTATTCGGTGAATGCAGGAGATGTTCGAAAATGAAGAGGAATCCTACAAGTTTTCCGTGTATTGGGAGTTTTCGGCTCAACCTTGAAGCAACTGTGAAGCTGGTCTTGAACGAATAACAACAAGACTCGCAATTCCATGCTGCATGTCTCGCCCATGCAGCAGTGCATAGCAGTGCCATGAACTTTGCGCAAGAGATCTGCCAAGAGTCCAAGGCATGGCATCACAAGGACCTGCAAAGTCATGAGTTATGAGCTGCCTCACATCTGATAGGTCGTCGTCGGTCATCTCTGCTCAGAGAGTGTTAATCTGAACTTCAAGCCTAAACGTAGCTTTGAAACTACAGTGTCCCACCGTGAAATACCTGGATCCGGTCCACAGGATCCGAAGCCCAACGCCACTTTGAAGGCTGGGCGTGTCGGGGTGACTCGGGTCAGTGAGAAGGAATACGAGTCTAAGGCAATGTCGGATGAGAAGGACCCTGCTTTGTGGAACCGGCACAATTTGGGTGCAGGCAGGAAAGTGCATAACGACCATCTGCTTGGAGCATAGCGCCGCTGTTGGGCCGTCCAAGGCACTGCTCTCGAACACTTGTTAAGCGAGGACACTGGAGGTCAAGGCGAGACCGCAGTGGCGGTCTGGACATGTATGGGGTCTGGGTGCCACCGAACGGGCTGCAGCGCACTACGAAAATCTTGAAGAAGAATATTAAGCTATAACAGCCACAACGAGGGGCCTTCCACTGAACCCTGCCTCACACCACTGGACATCGAAAGGCGCGGGCCGAGGCGGCCATTGGTGCAAACTTGCGTCAACTGGTGTCTTCTACATGCAGCATGCAGCATTAGCCAAGGGATAGAAGCAGTGCATTTGATGCGGAGCTCATCTCTCGCGGTTTGTGTGTTGTTGCAGTAGTGAGTCCAATGGGGCGGCAGCAAGATGGAGTTCCTTGCTTTCGCAGGCCCTGTCTGCTGCGGCAATCTACTGTGCAGCCCGCCGCGATTGGCGAGGCCATGGAACATGCATTCAGCGTGCAGTGCGCATGGAACGAGTGGGGGCGGGGACGGCTGACATTTGTGCAGCGGTTTCCGGGTCAATGCAAACATGTTAGCGGTGGCTGGCCGAGGCTTGACCTCAGAGCTTCCGCGAATCAGAATCCCTCCGTGGGCAGGGCGTCCGTGCCCTTACAGGGGCCTGAGTACTAGGACCGGTTTTCTGGATGAAGTTTTGTGTATATACGCTACGTGAGCATGAATAGCAACGGAGGACACAGGTTGCTCTGGCAGTTGCCGTGGCAGTAGTTTACGATAGCTTTCAGCCGAGAGAGCAACTGCACTAGGAATACTCGGACTCGGGACGATCGAAGATGGTGGCTTCAGGGTCGGCTTTCCAATGCTGGGAGGCTGAACGGCCCACAAATGCAGATCTGCATACGCCCAACTGTGACAGCACCAGCCCTAAACTTACCGATCAACTTCGAGATGGGAGCCATGCTTCATGCTTGTCCTAGCTTCTTTCTCGAAGCTTCCGGACCAAGCTGATTGAGTATTTCCGGTGATGCTCCGTTTCCCGGCACAGGGGGGTGCTGTCGCAACCATCAAAGCAGGGCTTTACGGACATAGAACGGTTGTGACCCGAAGCCTCCGAATCATTTGGAGACACGAGGAGTCCCCAGGGAAATTAGAAGAACGCTTCGAGAGCCCCACTCCCCCAATGATTCCAGCCGGCATCGGGTCCCAACAGCATAGACGCTGACCTGTTGCAGTGTTGAAGCATTTTGAAGTCTGCACATGGAGACAAAGATTCTGCTGAAGCAGGCATCTCCTGCACGGAACTGCAGTAGCTTCAGTCCCGAGGCTCGCTGAAAAGTGTTGATCTTGCCGCAGCAGCATATTTCCGTTGGAAATGGTCGAGGGGTTAGTCGACTTTCGGAATGCTCAGTGCCAGATGTTGCTGGTCCAGACGGGCTCAAGGTGCCTGGGCTTAGCGGTGCCAGTTGCAACCCTGGAGCCGAGCCAATGCTGGGCCCAGAACCCGTCTTCGAAGGACGGATTGGCTTGGGTTTGAAAGATCCTTCAGCTTGGACGCAGACTCTCGTAGACGCGGTGAGCATGCCGCAGTTCGCGTGGACTATCCCATGGCAGGGGGTCCTGTTCCGCTGGCAAGGTGTCGGTGTGCCCTCACTATGGCAGCAGCGGAGGTGTCTGTGCACGCAAGACAAAGGATCTGCAATCGGGCGAGGTGAAACTCCAGGCTTTGTCTCAGTGTCGCCAATGCGAATCCTGGGGTTTGTTCGAAGTTTCTAAACTATGGTCCTCATTGCTGGTTATGATACACGTGGATGCACACAAATGCCCCACAAGTTGCAGGTTTTGGTTATCGAACAGCTTTGGTTCTGGGCCGCGGTGCACTTGGGCTGCAGGTGTCCGTATCTTTTGAGAGCACTGTGTGGCACGCAGTTGACAGTTTGCATACAGTTTGCTCTCTCGGAAGATCATCGAGTTCTAGTCTTGGGCCGCCCCTGTCTACTAGTATCCCAAGGTCAAGCAGCTTAATTGGAAGCTCCTGTTGCCTCTTCTGCCTCTGCTGGCTGCGCCGGACAGCTCGGCAACAGGCATCCATGTTGGTAGCATCTGTCTTCGGTAGCTTCTGCTGAAAGTTAAACAGCAAGAACACTTGTTCTCGCGATCGGGAGCTGCTTCCGGTATGCTTTCAGCACGGAGCTGGAAGCACAGCCGGCTTCATCCGCCGCGCATCTAGCATTTCAAGCACTGTTGACACAAGTCTTTTGTTGCATGCCAAAAGAAGATGGGAAGAGGAGCATGGAGACCTTTACGATAAGTGGTACAGCCACTACCGACACGCGATGTATTCCATCATGCAATCTGCTTTCGACGAAGGTGCACCAGGACTGTCCAAACTGCATGTTCGTGCAGGGTTGCCCTGTGCCCACACGCTCGCGTGCGAGCGTGCCGGGACTCCAGCGCCACTTCGCAGTTTTTGTCAAGGAGTCAAGATGCTGATCTTAAATCGGCCCACCCAGCTTGACTTGGGGCGCGCTTATCTTTTCAAAGCGGCTGGAAGTCTGCAAGTAGACATGTCGGCGACTTACCTGGTGGGAAGGAGCTGACATCCCGCCCATATGAATATGAAGTCGGCCATGAGCACGCGCAGCCTGCTCACAGCGGAGGTCGGAAGCTTTCATACCGCAGAAACACCCCTTCTACGATGACGGGAAGCACACCAAGATCGACTGGGCATCGCAAATTTCCCTTAAAGCTCTGGGTCCGGGCCCTGTTGGCAGCATGATGCTGATGCGGCAGTTTCACGGAGTGCGACAGCGTCTCCCGCTCTCTGCAAGGTGAAGAGATCAAGAACAAAACGGCAGACGGGTGTGCTGTGATCATTGCTGCGTGCGACGTGAAGGATGTCGGCGAGGTGAAGAGGGTGGTCCGAGCACACAACAGGGCAACAGAACTGCAAGGATCCCACGGGCGAGTGTGCGCCTCACTTGCCTCGTGGGGTTTCAAGCGTGCCGCACCTAGACTGTAAGCCCATGCCGAGGACGAAAATGCCCTAAACCGAAACCAAGGCAA